TCCATGCATTTTAATTTAGTTATTAATATGTAATATAAATTTTTTCATATGACACGTATTTTGTAATCACTGGTTTTTAACATTTTATTGGTAGATCGTTTTATTATATGACTGCATAATTTTGCAAAGAGCAATAATAAATTTGAGGCAAGACCTCATTAAAGTAATTATATTTTTTTATTCTAGCGAGTTAAGGGTTTATCAAGAGTAACTTATTTATTACCATGTAACATATTAATTTTTATTAAATATTTAGGAACTTGAAATTTTTTGTATATAAAAATTATATTTGTCACACAAAGATAGAGTCACGTGATTTATAGAATAACAAAACAAATCATGTGAACACCGATTGTTTAGATAAAAAATAGAAAGATCCTTAACCTAAAACCCGGGTATAGGATAGGGGTCTTCATTTTTTTTTTTGAGTAACGTGATGCAACTAATATATGCCATTTCACATGATTTTTAGAATAACAAATCATGTGAACATCGAATAATTAGTTGAAAATACTGAGCTCAACACAAATAATATAATAATATATATATAAAAATGAGTAGGCCAAGACCTCGTTCCTTTTCTGCATTTTCTTCAGGTGAACAACCAAACAAAAATACTTTTAACGCGTCCATAAAAGAAAGGCTGGCAGAGCCATGCCAAAATCATTTTTAAAAACGTCCTACGCGTCTATAATGTGTTAAAGTTTCAAATTGTGGTTTTTTATTTATCTATGATACGTGTATAATATAAGAAATTACTATCTATTAAGGTTTTGCGATTAAATCATTTTGTGAAGAAAAAGATTTCATAAAAGCTCCATTAAATTCAAGAGTTATTCGTTCATCTTTGGTAACGTGTATTTTACTATTTAATAAATAATTTGCAATTTTACCGCTCAAGAAACCAAAGAAATGAATCCAAGTTAGAATAATGAAAAATGAAACTGAATTCGCTTTTTATTTAAAACAAAAATTTTATATTCCTGTTACCGTTGAATTAACCAATTATTCGTATACACAAATATATTTTGTTATAAGAGTAGTGACAATGTTGATAAAGAACAAAAAGTAGGAACGTTCTCTTTGCAACAGCAAGAATATTATATAATAGAAGATTTATTGTTTGTGATGATGGTAATAACTTTTAAAGTTTAAGATAAATGAATGAAATTATAAATTGATACAATTTAATCATTCTTTTAAAAAAAACAGGGCCTCGAAGGAAAGTATATTGAAATGAATTTGATGAAAAATAAGTCCGAAAAAGATCAAAAGTTGGAAGGAATTATATTTTCAGTAGATGGAACGCTAGGTTTTTTTTTTTTTATCTTACATTTTTAATAATTTATAATTCTTACAGAATTTTATAATTTATCCATGAATTCTGTTATTAAAAAAAAAAAAAAAAATTCAAATTGCATAGATCCTTCTTTAAAAGATTTGACAGAACGTGTTTTGCCTCTCGCGACATATTATATATCTATTGATACTTTTATTGAAATACATTCAGAATTTGAATATGGATTTGTAAGTCATGCATTATGTGCAGCAATGAGAGGATTATTAAAGGTACAAATATTTTTTATTCATATGATGACGAAAATAACAGCAAATCAATATTAATTTATAATAATGATATATTTTTTTAGGAATATCTCGTCTTAATCACTCAACTTGAACATCAATTTAGATCATCTACATCGTTTACTTTGCAAAAATTATGGTTTTATGTGCATCCTACACTTCATACCATGACAAATATTCATTCTTTGATATTGGAAATAAGAGAAGCCGATATGGAAGCGATGGATAATAATGTTCGAGAAATTTTGATGGTAGATGGATTTCCTCGGAATGATAATGCACCTCAAAGGATTAAAGGCGGTGGTATATTAAGTATTTTGGTGGATCGGATGACAAACATGAGTGGGTAAAGTATTAATATTAATATTATATCGAACAAATGAATTATTTTTTTCTAAAAGAATTAATAAGGAATTTAAGAAACCTTTTTTTTTTTTATCTTGATTAGAGATCCGGCTACTAAAAAGCTTTATATGTATTTACTTTCCAAGTCATCACAGCCCTATGTTACAATGTTACATTCTTGGATATATCATGGAGAAATCCGAGATCCACATGATGAATTTATGATTCAAGAGAAAAAACAAATTACGAAAGAAAATCTTAAGGTGGATTATAATGATGAATATTGGGAAAAACGTTATACTATACGGGAAAATATTATTCCTCCTTTCTTGATTTCATTTAAGGATAAAATATTATTGGCTGGAAAATATATTAACGTTGTTCGTGAATGTGGAATTGCCATAAAGGATCCACATCAACAACTTATAGAAGATGTTATTGGTAAAGATGATGTTGATAGAACAGAGGTCAATGTAAATAATGACGTTTTAGTAGCAATGGATGGTGGAAGGTTAGTAGATGTTTTATATTGTTTTATATACACGCGCATGTGTGATGTTTTTATATTAATAATATCTAAATATATAAAGATGGACCAATTTCAATTTATATATATATTTTATAGGTTTGTAGATAATATCGAAAGCGCTTATAAATTTGCAAATAGAACTTTGTTGGATTTGTTGTTAAAAGATCAACAACTTATTGACCGATTAAGGTATTTAACTATTTTATTTTTTATTTTTATTATTAATTATTTATTAATTTGCTTTTTTTTTAAAAAAAAATATATATATATATATATATATCATAGATCGATAAAACGATATTTTTTCCTTGATCAATCCGATTTCTTTATCCATTTTCTTGATCTCGCATCTTCAGAATTGAAAAAGCCATCTAATCAAGTTTCTCTTACTAAACTTCAATCATTACTTGATTTGGTTCTTCGTAATCCGTCTTCAGTTGCATATACTGATCCCTTTAAAGAAGATGTTAAAATTGGAATGAGTTCAGAGGGATTAGTGGATCAATTATTGCACATTATTAATCTTGCCGGAATGGACGTAAATCCAACAAATAATCGAACTAGTCGTTTGATGGATACCTTTTTGATTAGAAAAGAAATTGGAAAAATGGGAGATGAAAGTGAAAATGAAGGTTCCGAAGATGGCGAAAGACCAGGTTACGCTGCAAGCATTGCAGGTAGTGTAGCTAGTAGCTTAACAGGTAGCATAATAGGGGCTGGTAATAAACAATATTTAACAGGTATTATTATTTATTTATTTATTTATTTTTTTCTTTTGTACTTTTATTTTTTCATTCATTTTCAAATATTCCTTTATTTAAAAATCAATTTATTTTTTTTTTTAATAATTATTTTAGGAATTGAAGCTCTCACATTAGATTATATTGTTACTTTTCCACTTTCACTTGTTATTTCACGTAAAGCACTTACTAGTTATCAATTATTGTTTAGACATTTACTTCATTTAAAACATGTGGAACAATTATTGTATAACACGTGGACAGAACAAGCAAAATCTTTTTACTGGAGATGTGGTTCGGCACATCCTACTCTTGAAGCTTGGAAAAGTCGTGTCTATGCTCTTAGGCAAAGAATGTTGGTTTTTGTGCAACAATTATTATATTTTATAACAAGTGAAGTATTAGAACCACAATGGAGAAATCTTGAAGATTTATTGTCTAAGGTATCAACCGTCGATCAAGTATTGAAATATCATACAGATTTTTTGGATACATGTCTTAAGGAATGCATGTTGACTAATGCTAAACTTCTGAGAGTAAGTTATTTATAATATTTATATATTTTTCAATTGTTTAATGTGTTAATGAGTTATAAATAAATAAAATTAAAAATAATTATTTCTTTCTTTCCTAATAAATTTGAAAGATATATTCAAAGACTGTATACATTTGCATTCTTTTCTGTAACTATATCGAGAAATTTACGAAAAATCTTATTTCTCTTGAATCTGGGTCCACTCCTTTTTCTATTGATCAACAAGAACGTACGATTTACAAATTCGAGGATTATTTCTTTTATCATATCAAATTATTAATTGATGCTTTAAATTTTTATTCCGCAACAGACACAATTCAATTTTTAGGATTAGTAGTTAGATTAGATTATAATCTGTTCTATGCCAAACATGAAGGATCTGAAAGAGGTGACAATTTTAACAAATATTAAATTGTCAAAAATTTAGATAAATTTTAAAATGATAATGATAATTTTTATTTCAAGTAAAATTAAAAATCAAAATAAATAAATAAATGAATAAATCTTCAAAAAATTAATCACCACCAAAAATTAATATTTTATATAAGAAAAGCATTTTTTTTTTTTTACAATTCGTCAAAGCTTTTAAGTGTATCCTCCAAGTTTTGTTTAGTTTTATTGTATTCCTCAGTGATATCATCAAGTTTCTTTTCTAATTCTGCCTTTTCTGCTTCAAGTTGTTGCACCTTACGTTCAAAATGTTCTGCTTTTACATCTGTTTGACGTAATCTAAATTAATTTTTAATTCGAAAATAATTAAAGTTTAAGCACGTGACTATAAAATTTATCCCAATAAAAAAAAAGTGATCATCCTTACTTCTCTGTAGTCTCTCTTAGATTTTTTTCAGTATTATCTAATTCATTTTCGAGCAAAGCTACTTTCCTCGCAAGATTTTCAGACGTATTCTTGGAGTTTTCTTCTTCTTCCTTGGCAATTTTAGCGTCCGAAATCTTTTTCTCAGCTCGTTCGACTTCAGCTTCCAAGAGTGAAATTTTATTTTGAAGCGAGATGTTATCTTGTTCTTTGGCTGTCAATTCTCGAGAGACCTTTTTTAACTCATCTTCAGCCTCTTCAGCGCGTTTAGTTGCAGCGTCGGCTTCAGTTCGGAGAGCGGATAATTTCTAAAATAATAGAATAATCATTTTATATTGATATTCTAATTTCCAAAATTTCTATCATACAAAAGTATGTTATGTTAACCCAATTTCGATGTCCAAGTTCAACTTACATCGAATGGAGGAGATCAAGAAATGAATTAATGATACTTACTTCCTTAACCCTTTCCATTATTGTTTAATGTATTTTGTCTTTTATCAACTAATAATAATAATGATAAATAAAATGATCAATATTTTGACTACATTATATATATATGAGAGTTAAGGAGTCACAATTACTTGTTTCCACCAATAATGCTCAATAATGGGGTGGTCACAAATCTGATTTCTAAAAATACTCGAGTTCAAAAAATGGTTTAAAGGCTTTTTTTTACTTCTTCTTGTTAAAGAATGCAAAACGTACATACCCTTAACGGGCTTCAAGTTCCCGCAAACCCTTATGTTGACCGAAGTCAACCTTTTTATCACCAACTTCCTGTCAATTTTCGTCCCTTTTCAATATCTCAACCTCAACGACAGGTTTCTGCTACTCAGTCAGTGCACCCCTCATTTTTATCAGAAGATACTAAAGAAGTTGAGAGTACAAATTCAAGTAAAAGAAATGAATCGTATATACCTTTAAATCCTTTAACTTCTGAAGAGTTAAAAGGTTTTCAGCGTAATTTTGAGGAACCAAAATCAAAAAAAAGACAGAGGAATGCATCTATCGATCGATGGAAAAAACCTTTAAAAACAGAACTACCTTGGCTTACTGAAGTCAGTAAAATTGAGTATACAAGTGTGTGCCAAAGGTAAATTATCATTGTTTTTTTTTTCCTATTTCCAAAATGTAAAATAATAAAATAACATAATTTATTCATAATTTAGATTACATTACGAAATTCTTGAATTGGCAGATTATCTTAAACCTACTGAGGTCGAACATTTGTTACGTGCATTCGTAATAAAGCGAATAGAAATAGCCATTCAAAAATATATTCCCACCGCAGAAATTTTAGCATTTGGAAGTTTTAACACAGGCCTTTATCTTCCAACAAGTGATATTGATTTGGTTTGTTTTATTCACGTCCAAACTCCCTTAGCATTAAGGGAAGTATCAAGGATTTTAGTTCAAGAAAATATTAGTCTTGAGAGACCGATTACTTTAGCCAGAGCTGTTGTAAGTATTATTTTTCGAAATCTTTTGATTGTTTTAATTTTTATTTTATTATATAATATATATATATATTTTTTAATATATTTTGAAGTAAGGTTTAAAATTTTAAATTGATTTATCCTTTATAATAATAGGTACCTATTATCAAATTTCGTGAATATTATACCACCTTTAATGTTGATTTATCTTTTAATCAAGCTTCAGGATTCTTTTCAGCTCTTTCTATTAAAAAATTTATGAGAGAATGGCCTTCACTTGAAAAGTTGGTAATGGTTTTAAAACATTTCTTACGACATCACGAAATAGATGATCCTTCAACTGGTGGAATGGGTGGCTTTACAGTTTTTTGCATGATACTTAGTTTTTTTCAAGTAATTATTATTATTATTATTATTATTATTATTAAAAGATTCTTTAAAAGAATTCTTTCTAAAGATCATTGTTTTATTAAATCAAATTATTATTATTATTTTTTTTTTTAAAAAAAAAGTTACACTGTGAAATTCAAAGAGAATCATTAATACCAGAGGATGAAAATTTAGGAGTCTTATTAATAGAATTCTTTGAACTTTATGGTTTAAATTTCAATTATGAGAAACTTGCAATAAGGGTTAAGTCTTCTGAGGGATATGGTTATTTTCTTAAGGTAGTAGAAAGTTGGATTATTTATGAAAATTATTCAGTAGATTAATTTTTTCATATTGATTTAAAATATTGTTTTTGATATATTTATACTTATATTATTTATACAGGAAAATGAATCATGGGCGATGAAAAACCCGCCAACAAATTTATGTATTCAGGATCCAACAGATGAAGGTGCAATTCTTTCTTTTATTTTCAACTAAAATATAACAAATATCCAGACCTCTTTATGCTCTTTTCTGGAATTATAAAATTCTAAGAATTAAATGTATTTTTAAACATAGATAATGATATATCGCGGTCTACTCGTAATATGGATTATATACGTGAACAATTTAAGTGTGCATTTAACCGTTTAGTAGTTCGAGTTGGACATCTTGAACGTAATTTACCTCATGATGGAAAAAAATTTCCAGGATTACAAAAAGAATCAATTTTATCATCTATTCTTTTTGTGGATCATGAAATTCAAAAACGTCGGAATAAACAAGCCGAAGATTATAATCAACATTTAGCGAAAGTGATTGAACCATTTGGAAATGATGCATCGATATTTCTAACTCCTATAGATTTCGATTATATTACTAGTGAATTTAGATTAGAAATTATGTCCGCTGATAAAGCACGAATGGAAAAAACTGCAATGACTAAACATAAATTCAATCGAAATCGATCATATGAAGGGTCAAGTCCTATTAATTTAAGATCACAAGTTCCTAATTATCAATCATTAGTTTCTCGTACAGAAGAGGATGATCGTTCATCATCCAAACGTCATAGATATGATATAACGGACTCTAGAAACAAAAGAAATAGTTCAAGTAATAATGATAATGTTAGGGTATATGTTGAAAATGATTCTGATATGGAAATGGATTCTGATTATGAACGTTCTCATCGACGAAGTAAAAGTACCAGAAATAAAGGTTCGAGAAATCGTCGACATTAAAGGTCTGAAATTTATTTTTTTGGATATTTGATAATTAGAAATATAATAAAATTTATTAAATTTGTTCAATATATTAATTAGATATTAGCTTATTTCAAATGTAATAAAATGTACAGTGAAAAAATAGAAGCAACGATTAATTGATTATTAAAAAAAAAATGAAATCGTTTCAGGAAAAGGTTACAGTATTGTGGCAAGCAAATGAAATTGATTTTAAAGAATGTTTTTAATTTATTATTGATTAGTTTTACATTACGTTTTGGAGATAGAAAAATTTGTTTGTTTAATTTAATTTAACAAAGTGTAATCTTAGAACCATATTTCCGTTTCATACTTTATGGCTAATCGGAAACTAATTGATTACTATTTTCCCTTCGAACAAGACGAGAATTCTTGGATGATTATTCATTTCTTCACTGCAACCAAATATATCGTTAGTAAATCTATACCTTTTATCCCTTTTGCCGACAAGAGGTACCTGTAACAAAGTCAAAAAGTGGTATCTTTATTTTTAATAGATTTGATAGTTACTCTAGTTACTCACTTAGTCTTTATATCTTATCATAGAAGTAAGATGTAAGATATAGTAGACAAGCAGATTAGAAGAGTAATGTAAGTTTGTTTATTTTGAAATAACCTTTTTATTTTGCTTGCCACAGAAGGTAAAATAACTAAATTGCTATAGAGATTTCATTCTTTTCAATTTGAATCAATAATTGATTTAAATAATTTATAACAAAAAAGAAAAGTCAATAAAAAATATTTCATAGATGAAAAAAGTATTAAAAATATTAATTCCAAAGAAATTTTCATCCAAAATTATTTATATAGGTATTATTACATTTAAAATATTACATTTAAAAATGAATTGTGCAATCCATTCCTTTATGCATTACAATATGAACCGAGCAATCTATGTAAATGTTATCTTGCATAATGTGATATACCTGCAGAAATTCTCTTTCAATTTAGAATAAGAACATTTGGAGAATTCAATCAAGTACTTATCCTGAGATTTCCTTTGTTAAGGTTACACTGTCTGAATTGAATGCCAAATTGGGATTCAAAAGTAATTAAATTCGAACATAAAGATTCTCATAGGTCAGGCCTAATCAGAACGGGTCCAAAACCCTAAGCCTCGATTAATCATTAATTTTTATAATTTTTATATACATAAATATTCATTATGTCATGGTCTGATGGTTGCACAGATTGACGGATCATCCGTGTCTCTAAAAGTTTGATTTTTTTCGACAAAAATTATTCTGTAGTTTTGTAGTTTTGTAAAGTTAATTATGGATAATCGAACACCACCACCCATACAAAGAAAAAATTCTAAAGCTCCAAAACGGCCTGGAAGGGGTGGTAGTTCACGAGGTGGTAGCACCAGAGGTCGAGGTAGAGGGAGTGGAACTGGTAGTCGTCGCAAACAAAGTGTGCACCGTCTGCAATCCTCCGGTGTTGTAAAATTCCAAGAGTTTATGCAAGATATATCGGAAGGTTCTGCAGCGGCTACACCAGTTCCAAGTTCCACACCCTCAACACCTCGTGAAACTTTTATGTCCTCTGTTCCGCAAACACCAGGAGAAGAAATTGATCAATATATATTACGTGAAGAAGAAATCAATGAAGATTTAGCAAGAACGAATCGAGATAATGTTAGAGCTGAAGGTGAGGAAGAAGACGACGATGATGATGAACATGATATAGGAACGACAGATGAAAATGATTGGAAACAAGTTCAATTCCGTTCACGAACCTACGAACAACACAAGTAAGTATTTAAAATAAGATTTCGTTATTTCCTTTACAAGATTTTTTAACATAATTATTTAATTTCTTTTTTTTTTATTATTTTTATTTTTATTTTAAGTATGTTATTAAAAGCTTTTTCACCGGAGCAAACTGAACGATTTGAAGTTTATAGACGTTCAGCATTAAGTAAACCTAATATCAAAAAGGTAAACTATAGAATAATGAAACGAATTGAAATTTTAAATGATACGTAATATACTTATATATTCATTTTTATTATCCATCAAAAAATAGCTTGTAAGTAGCATTTTAGGATATTCTTGTTCAAATAATATTTCAATTGTAGTGGCAGGATTTGCTAAAATTTTTGTTGGAGAGATCGTAGAGAAAGGTAATTATTTTACAAACTTTATTTCACTTAATTGTAACTTTAATTATTAATTCTAATTTCATTTTGGAAATAAAACAAGCATTGGATGTTAAAAGAGAGTGGGGGTCTGAAGGGCCAATATCACCTGATCATTTACGTGAAGCATTTCGAAGATATAAACAAGAAAAAAAGTTATCGTTTCATGGTTATCAAAGAAGATTGCTTCTTCATTAATTATACTTTATATAAATCAATGATATTCGATATTTTATAAGATAACTATAAATAACTAAAAATAACTATAAATGATTATAGATAACTATAAATAATTATAGATAACTATAGATAGTCACAGATAATCAAAGATAATCAAAGATAATTACAAATAAATAATAAATTTAATATATTTTTGAAATTCCATATCTCAATAATTCTTATTCCTTTTTCACATTTTTTATACGTGAATTAGATTTCAATTTTTCATTTAAATATGGTAAACCAAATTGCCATATGGCATAACCGATCAAAACTGTTATCAATACTATCCAAAATACAATAACATTTGTTGGTGCAGGTTCAGGAAATTCTCCTCTACCAAATTTAAAGCATATTACTGTTTCTGTCATTACATTTGCAATAGTCAACCAAGCTTGTGGACCAAATCTTTTACATTCCCTGGAAGTCAAAAAAAATAATAATATTATTATATTTTAATTTTATGAAAAGAACATCAGATCAACATTTTACACAAAAAAAAATTACTTGTCGGTAAGATATTGGTATGCTTCTCGAGTTGCAGGAATAGAACACATAAAAAGTAAAATAGCACGACATGAGTTTATTGGATGCTCCGCCGGTGCCCATAGAAGATATTTCAAATAAAAAGAATTTAATTCCGCCTGCAAAAACTATATAAATAACAAATAAAAATATTAAATAATTAGAAAAATAAAGTTTATATTAAAAAAATAATTATTTAAATAATTATTAAAATAAGTATTAAAATAAATATTAAATAAATAGACACGTCGTAAAAAAAAATATTAGTAGCTCACTAGAAATAAAAGTCCAATCACTGCCAAATAATTTTTAAAACTTTTCGTTGTTCCCCATTCAAATTTTGTCCAATGATGTGGTGTAAATTGTTGAACTGTACGTTTAACTTTGCCTTTTAATGAACTTATTTGTCTAATCCCTCTCCATGAATAACCTTTCATTTCGAAATATTCACATGTCTTCATTCCTAGATATAATCCTGCCCAATTACAAATCAAAACATCAAGAATCCACTATAATTTTGGTTACCTTCGAAATTAGATTATTATCTTAATGATAAAATTTAAGTTTCGGAATGATTTGAACCAACTCACATGATCCCACCAACATTCGGCAAAGTTAGGTAATTGATGTTGTAATGTATATTCCATAACTTCAAACATGACTGATAAAATCCAACAAAACCAATAATCACGAAGTACTAAAGCTTTTGCATACCATCCAGTAATATGATATACGACAAAGATATCAAGCTGATTCTATTATGCAAAACAAGAAATCTAATTAACAAACATTTATTTCTGTTTTATCTTTAAAAGAATTTTTTTTTATTTTAAAAAATTATTACCTTAACATTTTCAAAAGTTAACTCACAATTTTCGGCATATGAGCGTTCAGGTAATGGTACTCCCAATGAGGGATCAATACATGAGAGTATATATCTTGCATCACGTTTATTCTAAGGAATAAACTAAGTTGTAAAAAATATAATAAAAAAATATTATACCTATTTTTTTTTTAAAAAATCATTTTTATATATATTACCTGAAACAACAGGAATACAAGAAACATTTGATATAATACACCTAAACCCAATACTATTCTCCAAAAAGCTGGATGTGGTCGAATGAAAGGTCCATCTCGAAATTGAAGCATTGCAAAAAGTAAAAAATATCCAATTGCTGCCCATATTCCACTAATTTGTATAAAAATAGAATTAAAATAATAAAATGATCAGATACGCGTAAATTTCAAGTTAAACAACAATCAAAAAATGGAATTACAATTTGATATTTGTGGCTGTATCGTCTGCCTCAGGGAACATCGTAACATATAGTAACCCGATTATCATGGCTGCCAGTACAGTTAAGGTTCGGGGTCGATCTACAATTTATAAATTCAAGATAAAATATCATATAAATGACATCTTGAGAATCGTGAATTAAAAAAAAAAAAACGAACATACAGAAAAATTCGGTGGTAGGATCGTTTTCTACATGTTGAATTTGTATCGATCTCACATCAAATGGGTCTATTATAGCTTTATTTGTTTTTTCATCTACGAAATAAACCATTTTTTTTTTTTTCTTATTTAAAAAATTTTTCTTTTTGTTTTTTTATATAAGAATTCGCATAATCACGTGATAAATTATATTAAATAATACAACAGTATAAACTATAACAATAAAGTTAATTTAATTATTCAATTATTATTATTCTTTACATATTTGTAAAATCGAAATGTTGTCAATGCGTCAAAATAGGTTATTTCAGCCAATCATCGGTCATTATTTTGAAGCCTGCTGGGGTACAGGCATAAAACTGGCCAATCATATATCGATATATCAGTGACGAAATTTCTTGGCAGTGAAAAACCTGATTAACCTATAAAAATGGTATTTGAATTCAGATGTTGATTTCTAACAACATCATTTGTTTGGGTCAACTATTTTCTATTTCAAATTTAAACGGTTAAAGCTGGATTTGACAAAGTACTTAATTAAGAAAAATCTACATTCGAAATATATATATACGTTAAAAAGAAAGCGTTGTAGTTTTGCTTACTTTTTCTAAAAATAATGGAGGCCCTTTCAATTGTTAATATTCACCATTGGTTGGTGTCTTGGTCTTCCAGCATACCCACCCAGTCCTTGACCATAATTATTACAGTTATAGTAACGGTTTTTGGCTTGTTCTTAACACCTTTCATTTTACGGAACTCCAGAAGGAAATTAAATAAGATTTCTGACGGTAAATTTAATTCATAACCTATTAATTAGTCTCTCTTAATTTAATTATAATTTAACCATTTTAATTATATTTTAATTTTAAAACTTTAGAAGAACCGTCCATAATTCAGAACAATTCTAAAAATGTTGTTATTAGAAATAAACAACTTCGAATTGTCCATATTCCTCATGAACTTGGTGAAAATGTTCCTTTAATAGTATTTATTCATGGACTTGGTGGTCAGGTTAGAATTATATATCAATTAATTTTTATGAATCATTAATAAATTTTTTGAATTATTTACTCACAGCCATTGCTAATCATATTAAATAAATGAATGGACAAAGGCTACACAATGGGAATATCAATTAGAATATTTTTCTTCTACCGCCAATGTATTAGCAATAGATTTAATTGGTTGTGGCAAGAGTGAAGTATCGAACAGGTAAATTTATAATTTGATTGATTAAAATTATTTATTATGTTCTATTCACTGATACTAAATTATTATTTAAGAAGGGAAGATTATAATTCTGAATCCTTAGTGAATTATCTTGAAGAACTTTTAAAAAGTTTTTCAAGCAAGAATATTGTTTTGATTTGTCATTCTTATGGTTGTTGCATTGGTGCATTTTTGTATCAACGCATTAAAAGTTCCGTTAAAGCCATGACTTTTATTTCCGTCAAAGCAAAAAGAACCGAAAGTGAAATGACAAAACAAAAAATCATTTTGTTCTTGCCCGATTTTTTGTTCGATCTATTTAGGGTTTCAGATCGTCGTGGAGGAATTTATTCTGATAGTGTAAATAGAATGTTACACAAGGACGCAAGTGTTTTATTAAGAACTAAACAATTTAAATGGAATAAACAATCAAAAACATTTGTTTGGAAAAGAATGTTGGGAGGAGCGAAATGGATCACTAAAGAAGATATCAGTGAGATTGAGTGTCCATTATTGTTATTGTCAGGACGAGATGTAAGTTTCACATTGGATTTAACATCTCGGGTTAACACATCCGGGGTTAACATTCAGGGTTAACACATCCAGGGTTAACATCTAGGGTTAACATCTCGGGTTAACATCTAGGGTTGATGTTAAAAGCTAATATTTTTTTATATATGCATTTTTATTGAATTTACACAGGACAAAATTTGTTCACAAAGTGACATGGTGGTTATTCACGAATGGTGTAAGTCACCTAATACTCCTGCACCTTTTTTGATCCCTCAAGCAGGGCATAACCCGATCCTAGAAAATCCTGATCTGGTTAATTTGATTATCAACGACTTTCTCATTAAGGAATGCGGTTTAGAAACCATGGATCCCGGTTGGCAGATCTTAAATAAAACCAAAGGCGAAAATAAATGGTCTATGAAGAACTATCAAAAGGTGTGCCAGCGCGGAAATTAAATTCATGCTGTCAGCTGAGTTGACCTAGTAAACCTTGAAACACGCAAGTTTTTTTCCTACAATGGAATTCTTGGTTTGACGCGTGAATTTTCGACCTCGTTTTATAGACATGAATTTTTTTGCACTTCACCTAACCATTTCCTATTCATATACGTCATTTATTTTATAGTGGAAACGAGCCCCAATAATATCTGCTCGTCCTGTGAATCATACTAAGTTTAGACCCATGAAGGTATTTCATCTTTTTTTTTTTTTTTTTTTACGTAAATAAATGATATACAACTTTATCAACTTGATTATTAATATATAAAATCATAATTTTCTTTTCTCTTTACTTTCCTTTCTTTTATTTTTTTTGTGAAAAGGTCATGCGACAAAATGATGATGAACATTGTCCCGCAACTTTTATCGCTCAACACCCGGAGATAGGATTGTGAGTATGAAATTAGATATTTCGCTTTCTTTATTTCATTGTAATATTATTAATTCTTGATAAATCCTATACTCAATAGTATTATTGATATAACCAAAGATCAGCCGCCTTATCGTCCAGGTGATTTTGAGAATTCACATATTACTTATATAAAACATAGCACAACAAGTAAAATACCTCCTTCACGATATGAAGTGAAGCAATTTATGAAGGTTGCGAATGATGCGTGGAGCAAAAAGCCCAATAAACAAATTGCTGTTCATTGTCATTATGGGTAACTTTAATTCAAATATATAATATATATTTATATTTTTTTTTTTTCTTTCTTTTCCATGTAATTTACCCAAAGTTATATTCCTACTTTAACACAATATTGAATTATTTAGTTTCAATCGCACTGGGTTTATGATTTGTTGTTATATGATTGAAGAATTACATATATCAGTTGCCGATGCCATTCACTATTTTGAAGAAGCGAGAAGTCCAAGTGGCATCAAGTATGTCATTTATTTATTATTACTTTTTATTTTCTCTCGTTAGCTATTAAAATATATAATATATTAAATACAATCTCAAAATTTATTCATTATCAATAATATGCAGGCATCGTCATTTCAAAGAGGAACTCTTTCTACGATACGAGCCTCCGCCTCGCCTTGATTCTTATCAGGAAACTCATTCCGAAAATTCATCTGGATCTGATTGTTAGATTAAATATAAATATATTTTACTCAAATTTCATGCAGAATTCCTTTTGTACATTATTTTTTATAAATATCTGTTAATTCACTTTCACATATTTTCATTCGAAAATCAATTAATCACAACATTCATAGATTGAATTTTGATTTTTTTTTTTCGTCAGTTTCTGTAGAAAAATTTATTTCAGTTCACATATATATATATACTTTGGTTACATTTATGTGTACATATTTTTTCTAATAAATCTTTACAATTGGTTTCTTTTAAATTAATGTGTTTGTAAACTATTTCAAACTTACCGTAAATAATAAAAGAATAAAATTATAAATTTCAATTTTTTTTAAAAAAAAATAGTAATTCAAAATAACAATGTCAAAAATTTATTTTTAATAATAACTGATAATTATAATCATTATTAACTAGTAATTTAGTAGAGATTTAGTAAAAAGTAGAAAGTAGTTATTTGGTAGTATAAAATGTCATACTATAGAAAATAAAATCAAAAAAAATTAATTCGGGGTTAAGGATCTTTGAGAATTTTTAGAAGTAGACCGTCTTTCTGGTGTGTTATCACGATCCTTTTCTTCATCTTTGTAATCACGATCTTTTTCTTTATCCTTATCACGTTCACGGTCCCTATCTCTATCACGATCCCTATCACGATCACGATCTCTATTTCTATCACGATCACGATCCCTATCTCTATCACGATCCCGGTCTCGGTCACGGTCAGAAGAACGAGAATAACGACGTGGAGAACGGTCACGATATGGTGAGCGAGTCCTTCCACGAGAATAAGATCCATATCTTTCATTTGAAACTTTGAAAGTCAGTAGCTAAACCAGTAATGATTAAATATCAACAAAAGGCTTTTAAAAGAAAAGGTTCACACTTTGCACATTCTCTAGCACGATGTCCTGGTAGCCCACAGGTACTAATTTTATAGGGATATCAAATATACATTGAGATTATATTCATATTCATAAATATCATAATATTATCTTAATAAAAAAACTTACAAGCAACGATTTTCTTCGTATCTTAAAAAAAAAGCAAAGTAATGTATTTTGGAATATAAATTTATTGAAGAATGCAAAATTTATATTTAATTTATATTATAAAGAAAAGGCTTTAAAATTCCTTACCTGCGAGAACGTTCACCGCTTTGTTTACATAAACCGGAAATTATAAGTTAGATGTATAATTAAACAATTAAAACGATTACAATTATTCAATATTACCTTCCCGGAGGCTGTGAACTTTATATTCCAAATCAAACAATAAATAGACACTCTGCTATTAAACCACAGAAAAGGGAAAATTTTTTAAATTAAATCCCAAAAACAGCATCAAAACTTACCAGTCTCTTGCCCTAAGAAAAAAATATGAAAAAAAAATAAAAGAAAAAAAATAATAATTTAGAACAATATTTACAATATTTAAAAAAAATTCAAAAAACATTGTTAAAACTTACCAATGGCCTTTATAAATTAAATAGATAATATATAAAATAAAAATTAAAAATTAAAAAATTAAAAAATGAAATATTTAATAAATGAAATTAATCATAAGATTGCATTGGATATACCAATTTGTCCACAGTTAAAACATCTTTCAGGGGGGCGTCCGTCAAAGTTGCGACTTCCGCTACCACGACTGTTACTGTCACGAGCTCCGCGCCAGGTACTTCCTAAATATGATTTAAATTATAGATTAAATTCATTGAATTCAAAAATTTATATTTTTTTTATGATTTTTTTTTATAATTATTTACCTCTGGCAAATTCTACTAATATTCTATCATCATTTCCTGGGATACGAACACCGTCTAAAGCCCTGAATTAATACTGAGTTAAAACTTGACTCTGCAGCCTGGGCGATACGCCGTTGTCACCAGTGATTTCCTCTTTTCCTCGCACCAAAGCAGACGGTTCTTATATAATTTTATTTCGAACTGCACTACAACAGAATAACATCGCGTCGCAGCCCGCATCGTAACTCGCTCTGCAGATTGCTGCGTCACCGATTCTCCTTTGAGTTTTCGCACCTCACCTCATCGCATCATCAGCATCTCTCGGATCATCGAACTGGACAAAACAAAAACCAATCTAAACTCAAAATTATTTGGATATATATATATATATAAATATAGATATAATAAAATATTATAATGTTAATAATTATATTAGGGGAAATATTAAAAAGTGAATTTGATCGCGAAAAAAAAAATATATAAGGTTACCTTCATCTAAATAATCATAGGATCATTTTATTTGATAAATAAATTATCTGTTATTAGCAATTATTTATAAGAAAATGCAATCGTCGTATTATTAATATAGACACCTACATCAACTTCGCGAATTCTTCCATATTTTCCAAAGGCTTCATCGATATCACGTTCTGAAACAGATCTGGAAAGGCGACCTAGAAGAATAACAGAAGGATAACTGAAATCAATAAATTTTTTTTTGTTTTACGAAAAAATGTTATTATTATTTTATTATTTAAATTTTTTTACGAACCGACATAAAGTCTAGCCGCAAATTTATCTAAGTTGTTATTATTACTTCCATTGCCTCCCCATCTTTTCCCGTCATCGTAACCGCTTCTTCTGTCTTCAAAGAAAGACATCGTTGACGTGTGTAGGAAAAGGTGGAAAAAATTTTCAAATATTTAGTTGTACAAATACACACTACTGTTACACCAGTTGAATTATGTTATTTCCAAAATTCAAGGAAATTAGATAAATTAAGTTAAATTATTCGATGTCACTTGTTGCAGATTATAATTCAGATTCCTCGTTAAGTGAGGAAGATACAAAAGTAGAAGAACCTGTTGCTGAGAAAGCGTCACTACATTCTACACTAAAAAGCAAAAGAGGAGGACCGGTAAAAATCGTAGTTGACCTTCCAAAACATGATCATGATATCGAAGAAGAAATAGAACCTAAAAGGCAAAAATTAAATAGATCTAATAGTAGTTTGTCAGCAATTTTGCCATCGCCAAAAAGATCAATAAAATCAGTAAAGAAGGACAATAAAAAAAGTGATACTAACAAGCCAGCGGGAATTACAGACTTTGTGCCTCACACAGTTAATAAACCGAAATTAGCAACTATCGAAAAAAAATTGAAAATCGAGTCCAACACAGAAGAAAATAAAGAAGAAAATATAGAAGAAAATAAGAAGAATCAGATCTTAGACTCATTTTTCCCATTGGGTAGAGATTTTTCGAAAAATGTCTTCAAATTTAATGATTCAATGAATTAATGACCTTGTTTACATATATAATAGATTTAAAATCGTCCACCTTTGTTGAAAATGAACTACCCAAGATAAATTCATACATGAATAATAATACAGAGACTACAAGTGTATATAATTTTTCCAGCGAACATACAAATGAATATATAGATTATTATGGAACAAACACTAACGATCAAGAATATTTTAACAATGAATCATGTCAATATAATCAAGAAAGTGAACAAATACAATCAAATTGGGAACCAGATGAAGAAGTGGTATAATTAATTGATAACATTTATAATGGATATATTTATTTATTTTTTGAATAATATTTAACTATTTATTTTTATTTATTTTTTTAGTTTCAAAAATTAGGGGGAAGAAGAGGGAAAAATGAAGGACCTATCAAGATTAAAGAAATCAATGCCGCTGATCAAATGGCAGGTGCATGGCAATCACAAATTACCGATATATCAAAACCTACCAAAGGATCAAGTGTAAAGTATTCATTTTTTTTTAACATTATCAAAAAAAAATAATATTAATTATATAATTATTATTTACATACATATATATATATTTTAGCATTATAAACCAACTAAAGTTCAGAAAAGAAAACATAATCTTATGTATCTAGCTTATCAAGCCAATGCTATGGAAAATGATTTGAAAGAACAACATGCAACTAATAAAAAAACCAAGAGAGAAACTCAGGCAAAATATGGTAATCAATTATTTTTGTTGTGTATGCATTTATTTATTTATTAATATTATCTATTAAATTAAATATCATTAATAGGTTTTTAAGAGTGGAAGATATTTGGTAAGTATAAACTTTTTAATTTTAATTTATTTAAAAAAAAAAAAAAATAGAGAAAATAAATTATCAGACTAAAAATTAACAAGTCTATTTAATAAAAATAAATAATATGTAATAGTTTCTAATAACTTGTAAATGGATTTTTATAAATTGTTTGTTTGAGAACATTTTTATTATTATTTAATTATAAGATGGAAAAAAAAATAAAATGTTTAATTAATAATTTCAATTTTTTTTTTTTTTGACATAAAAAATGTCTTTCTATTTGTCTTTACTAATACCTAGTATTATAGTGGATAATTTTTTATGTCATACAATTACTCCATTTAATAAAATAAACAAATAATAGATGATATAAATAAAATGATAGAAATAAACAATAAAATAAATATATAATAGATAATAGAATAAGTAATAAAAAATGTATGATTAAAATAAATAGTAAAAATTATAATATAAAATACAAATTTTTTATACACTTTCTTCATCTCTTCTTAAGGCCATATAACCTCCATTTCTTCGCGACGTAGAATTACCACGTCTTTCGACAAGAGGAACATCATAAAGTCCATACCAATCAACGTTTTGTAGCATTCCACCTTGACCTTGTGACCAAAAATCAACACAATTGTTCCAACATCCAAAATCGAATGGATTTCCATTAGTGTGACTACGTGAACTGTTACTTCTTCGATGTAATCTGTCTCGTCCACCAAACATTCTAAGCAATCCTGAAGAATTATGATTATGTGGAGCATGATCACCGAAACCATCATCAGTTCCATCAAGTGTACTCATGTCATCCCCACTAGCATCTCCTACTTGAGCTGCTCCCCCTGCACCGGGACCTGCAGCCAATGTAGCCATAATTTGTTCTCGAACATTTCCTCCGGTTCGATTTCCAAAATACGAATATCGATGAAAATTTGCCATTTCGTTGGTGGTTTTGGCCGAAGAAATTTGATAACTTTGCATGCATAATAATCCTACGGACCAAGTGAGTTGTAATCCAAGCCAAACACATAAAGAAGCTGTCCATGTGTCAAACTGAAAGAATCCACATAGAGTATCATTTAAAAGACATTTTTGTGATGGATCCCATTCATATTTAGGAGCTGAGGTTAAGAAATCTATAGAAAAAGAAAGAAGAGAGAATAAAATTTTATCAAATATACTAAAAAAAACAAAACAAAAGATTATTCTATAATAATAAAAGAAATAGTTCATATACATTGATAACACAAGTATTCATAACTTAAAATCGACACAATCATCATCACCAAAAACACCATGAATGCACGGTGATTTTTTACTCCAATACAATTAAATATCCAAGGACAGTGACTAAAAAAATAGACGATGATGATATTAATATGAAATCTCAACAAATAAAATATTTCTTGTATATTAATAAACTTACTGATCAAAACGGGCCACACATCTATCACAAATTTTGCAATGCTTTGAACGAAGTGGTTTCTTAATCTATTTAATAATAAATTAGCTTTTTTTTTAAAAAAAAACAGAAAATATAACAAAATAAACCAAGTAATATATTATTATTATATAAATATTAAATATTATTTACCAGACATGTAATACAATAATGTCTTGTATCTAACATTCCTTTGTTAGCAAGATCTATTACTAACTAAAGATAAATAAATAAATGATTAATTTATTATATTTATAAAAATAATTACAAAATCTTATTATAACTAATTCAAAATCTACCTGTTTCTCTTCTTCACGAGAACGTAATTTCGGAACAAATCCAGGATCAGCCAATACAGCTGTATAGAATGAATATAACGCCACAAAAAAAGTAGTGACGAATGTTATGTTTGCCACAAATAAATATGACGTAGCTATTATTAATTATTAGAATTTAAAAATTTTAAAAATATTAGTTTAAGTTCAATAAATTCAAAAGTTCAAGAAATTTATGTAGTTCAGATAATTAAATAATTAAAAATTTTTAATTTTAAACAATAAGCAAATGAAAATGGATGAAAAAACAAAACAAAAATAGATGAAAAAGGAAAATAAAAATTTAAGTACCGAGCAAAATTTTATATATCCAGGTAACTCCAACCCAGAATGCACTTGCTTGAAATAAACTAGTGAAATATGGAGTTCTCATCAATGCATCAGGTAATTTTGCTCGTATAAGAACTTTCATTATTAACATGTGAAATGCAAAAAATTCAGCAACGGCCAAAGGTAAACCAATTAACCAAGAATAATGAGAAAGTGTTTGGAGTCCGGCAAAAAGAGTAAAAAATGGTATCAAATATATAATTGCGAAGGCAGTTTTCTGTTCAATTTAATGTTAAATTATATATCATTTCAATAAAAAAAAATAAGCTTTATAAAGAAATGTTCATTAAAAAAGAGAGAGAGAGAGAGAGAATGTTTGCTTAGAATACCTTTTCAAACAAATATAATTTTCTTTTTCCATCATTTTTTCTTCCTGCTTCGCTCAAAGATCTTTCCCAAACTTTGTCAGATTTCATTTCCTGCGCGATATCAGCTGGCGTTTTTCCATTATCTTCTTTAGCATTTATATCTGAACCACTTTCTATTAATTTTCTTATACACAATGGATGCCCTTTAATGACCGCCCAATGTAAAGGTGTAAATCGTGTTGAATCTACTTTATTAACGTCAGCTCCAAGCCGAATAAATAATTCTGTAGTTATTGGATCACCCTGATAAGCTGCCCACATTAAAGGTGTATGTTGAAGTGTATCCGGTGTATCGATATCCATATCTTGAAAAATCAAATACAAAACTAACATTGAATTAGAAGAATGTGTAGCAAGATGTAATCCATTAAATCCTTGTGAATCCCGTAAATTAGGATCTGCTCCATGATTGATTAAAAGTGTCACAGTAGGTAAATGACCATTCCTAAAGATTTAATCGCACACACATATATATTTTTTAATGAATTAAATTATTTAATAATAATAATATAAAATATAATTCTTACAATGAGGAATGATAATTAATGAAAATAAATGAAAATAAATGGAAAATAAAATGATTATAAATGATAATAATAAGTGACGAGGTTATCCACACACTTTAACACACCTTGCCGCCCAGTGCAATGGTGTGGCAACCAAATCCCCGCCAAAAGCATCTACTTCTGCTCCATTATCAATCAAGTATTTAGCCACTACCACATGATTATTGATGGCGGCCCAATGCAAGGGTGTTATATTTTGGGAATCTCGAAGGGTTGCTTCTGCTTGTCCATTTTCAATCATGTGCTTTGTTATATGTAGATTCCCTTGCTGTGCTGCTTGGTGAATTGTCATTCCTACAGTACGTAATATGACATTACGAATAATAAAATTAATTGAAATGGTGAATATAATCTTTTAACGGTTGGACAAGAAGAAATTTAAGCCTTCGGTCAACACAGTGTTTTGGTCTTTAGATCTATATTACGAGCATATTAAAGGCAACCTCTCTTTAAATTGACACTGCATTCTAAAATTGTCTAAAATTAAACTTTACTGCAAATAGTAAAACTTCAAAAAAGGTATGAAAATACTATACCCGAAAGATTATCATTTGGAATATTATCAGTTTTCGTATCGATATTTACAACAGCAACAGTAGCTTTTGCTGTCGTTATATTCAGGCCTGGTCCACCAGTTATCGTCGTCATGTTTTTGTCTTCAGCATTACGATCACGATCATCGTCGAGAGTTCTTATAGGGGACATCGTTATCCTCGGCTGCGGAAAACTTCGGTACAGTTTCTACCAGAATTTACCATCTTCTGATTACTCATGTACACAAATAAAATTAGTAAAATGACAAATCTGATTTGCTGATCATATTGATCATAAAAAAAGTATTTAATCCAAGTTTGATTCCCTCAAAAAAATTTTTTTTTATATTCTAATCTGAAAAAAAATATTTGAAAATGGGTCGTCGTCCAGCTCGTTGTTACAGATACTGCAAAAATAAGCCTTATCCAAAGAGTCGTTTCTGTCGTGGTGTTCCTGGTAAATTGAGTTAATAAAAATATCTAGGAGAATTTATGAAATCTATTATTTTTTTTTTTTTTGATTTTTTTTTTTTCTATTGATTACAGATCCAAAAATTAGAATTTTCGATCTGGGAAGAAAGAAAGCGAGTGTTGATGAATTCCCTCTATGTATTCATTTACTTTCCGATGAGCACCAGCAACTTTCAAGTGAAGCCTTAGAGGCAGGGCGTATATGTGCCAACAAGTACATCACAAAGATGGCTGGTAAAGATTCCTTTCATTTGCGAGTTAGAGTTCATCCGTTCCATGTAATTCGCATCAATAAAATGTTGTCCTGTGCCGGTGCCGATAGGTAAATAAAATTTATTTTCTGTTTTTTTTTTTTTTAAAAAAAAAAAAAAATTATTACATTACAATTCATTAATTAATCAATACATGATATTTTTTTCAAAGATTGCAAACTGGTATGCGTGGAGCATTCGGTAAACCTACTGGTACTGTCGCTCGTGTTAATATTGGACAAATTATTTTCTCCGTACGTACCAAAGAAAACAACAGAGCTGTTGTTATTGAAGCACTCCGACGCGCAAAGGTATGATGGCGACTTTTTTTTTTATTCAATACTTTCAATAATTATAATATTTACAATATTTTTTATTGATCAAATCCTGAATACCTTAAATAGTACAAATTCCCTGGTCGTCAAAAGATTATTATTTCCAAAAAGTGGGGATTCACTAAATTATCACGGGAAGAATATGGAGAAAAACGGCAAGCGGGTCTTTTACAACCTGATGGTGCTTACGTTAAATATCTTTCTAATCATGGACCACTTGTAAAACATCTTGAACAAATTGTCGCAGCAGAAGTGTAAATGAATTAAATGAAATTTTTTGGGAATTAATTTATTGACAATATTAGAAATTTATAAATTTTATCAAATTTATAATAAAAACAAATAAAAAATTTGTGATCAAATAATTTTACATTTTACATTTTGATAAAATTCACAATTCATGTGATTATTTATTACATTTTAAATATAACTTAAAAGCAAAAAAAAAAAAAAAAAAAGATTTAACCTAATCCTCTCAACACATTTTTACTGGCGGGTCTCCTATTCCTCCTTTGACTTTTTTTACGAGAATCATTATCATCTAATGACTGTTTATTAAATTTATTTTTAATCTTAAATGACATTTCCATGTTACCCGTAATCTCTTTATTTTTACGATCTTTGGATGAACCAACTATCCTTCCAATCTACAAGAAAGTATTAAAGTATTAAAAATTTAATATAAAATAAATATAAAGAGTCGTTATTTATTTTATTTTGTTACCTTCATCTCAATCTTTTTCTGTTTTTGATTTCCTGAATGAGCTGTTCGAATGTGATCATCCTCAATCTTTTTAATTCTCCTTTGTTTATTCACCTGTGTTATGAGATCTTTAAAAGATTTTTGATTTATTTTATAATGAAAATATAATTATATAAATTTAAATGTACACACATATATATGTATGTGCGATCAGTAGAAAAAATAATAAATATACCTTCATCACTATCGGTTTCAGAAGATTCGGAAGTTTTAGAATTTCCACTTTCTTCTTTGTACAACTCATTTTTATCATAATGAGCTTCATTTTCATCATCATCAGATTCTTTACGAGCAAATTTCTATAAAAAATGGTAAATTATATATATATTAAAGAAAGAAAATCAATTTATTTTTGAAAAATGAAATTAAATAGATAGAATTACGTACAGAAGTTAAAGTAGGATGTAATAATTTGTATTCAATAGAATTTTTGTCAATTTCAAAATCTGGATTTGAGAATAATTCTCCAAATCTAGTGTCTTTGAGAGGATCAACAGCTTCCTAAGAAAGAGCAACAAAAGTAACAAAAAGTATTAATAAAAGTAGTAAAAGGAGGAGTAAGAAATAGAAAAAATTAATAATTTCACGAATTCATAAAAAATAATTTAAAATAAAAATTCAAAACCTTATTGCTCTTCTTTTTATTTGATAAATTCAACAATCGACCTGCCAATTCTTTATTAACCTTGGGTAATTTTTTGGTAGCACGAATACGCGATTCACGTTCTTTTTCTAATCTTTCTTTAATAATTTTTTCTCGATAATCCACATATGCAAATGGATTAGCAATTGCTTTAGCCTATAAAATTTTAAATCAAATCAATTAAATTATGGTTAACACCAAAAAAAAAAATGGAATAAAAATTAATTTACTTGTTCATGTAAACGCAGATCGATGAAAAATCCATGCATGTATGGTCTCAAGACATTAGTTCCTATTAGATGATCCATCCCTAGACTAAAATTAAATTATAATGTATACAAATATATGAGCAAATACATAAAAAGTAACATAAAAATAACATAAAAAAAAATAATAATTTACTTTTCCAATTCTTTTCTAGTTATAAATTTATAATCATCATAAATATTTTGTTGTGGATTTTCTTCCATTTCTTCCTAGTCGATAAATGTCGATAAATGTCAATAAATGTCAATAAATGTCAATAAAGTATGTCAACGATGGTCACATTAATAATGTTAAGTCAAGTTCTTTCGTATGATAAAACAATTACCGTTAAATTATCCAAGAATGAGCACCATTTTGGAGCTGGTCCCAACGCAGGTATATAATATGCACCGATCTGTATTCCTTCATTTGCAACGAAAATTAATCCAGAATCTTGTACTAAACAAATATCATTTATGTCAGTGATTGGTTCTACTGAAGTAAAATGTGAACCCTAAATATAAATTATATATAATCTTGATTAAACAAGTTAAAATAATATATAGAAATCTAAAGATCAAGGTAAAAAATGAACCTACATTATCTTTATCCCATATTTTAATAATTTTACAATCCGCACTAATTATTTTATTTTGACCTTTATCCCCTGTAACATCATCATAATACCATTTTATACTTTTTATGGGATATCCATATTGATGATCTTTAACTAACCAGGGATTTGAACTTCTTAAATCATACAATAATATATGACCAGTAGAAGTTCCTATGGCTAAAGAAAGACCATCATTTTTATATTCCATGGAAGTTATACTTAAACTTTGATTATCAGGTTCATCAGGAAAACTAGGTGTTAACACTCCAACCCGCGATCGTGATCGAGGATCCCAAAATTCTACTCTACCATCTTCTGTACCAAATCCATAAAGTTGATGTACTGGATTTATTATTCCAACATTGACACCAGATGTTGCATCAGTTGATATTGGATTTAAAAATCGACCTTGACAAAGGTTTAATCGATATACTTCATGTGATGAAGAAGTTATGAGAAGATCGCACGTAGGGTAATGATAAGCCAAATCTCTTCCAAACTAGAAGTAAAAAAAAAATTAAAATTAAAAAAAATTCGAATTTTTAAATTTTAAATCAGAATTAAAAATTTTACCTTTGGAATTCTAGTTTTGTAATATATTCCTCCTTGCGAATGAAATTCGATCGTTCTATCATTTTGTAAAAAGACGGACTTGGTCCAATCGTCTGATAAAATCTATCATAATTATCAATTATCAATGAACTAATTAACAATTAATAATATTGACATCTAGTCTTTTTAATTACCTCAAAATCAACATTTTCAGAATCTGTATGGCGATCAAACTTCATTGACATTTCTGAAAACTCAAAAACTCGAATTTGGGGTTTGTAGACACCTATTGAAAATTATATTTAAATATAAAATTTTAAAATTAAAATATATTATTTAAATAAAAATACCTGTTGCCATTACAAATTTTCCATCCTTTGTGGTTTTTACTCGAATGGAAGCTTCCGGGAACTCAAAATCCTGAATTAGTTCAATCCTTGAACGCCATTCTAAAAAAAAAAATTAAAATATAATATTAAAAAAATTTAAAAATTATATTTAAATTCTTCCAATCATACAAACCTGGATCATCTTTCAACATTCTTCTCTTTTTTCTAGCCAACCAGTCAGGTATTGCGCGAGATCCCGTTCCTGAAACAGTATAAATTTTAACATCATTTGGATTTGATACTTGAAGAACCATTTTTTAAGATAAGATTTTTGATGATCAACATTTTTAATTTTTGGGTTATAATTATCTATATTTCCATATTTAGAATAAATCTAGAAACAAGTATTGAGAAATTAAAAAAAAAAAAGGAAGTCTTTTTTTAAAGTTGTTTTTTTCTAAAATGACCTCCAATTATACATTACAACGTGCAGAGGATCTAGCGAAATTTGCACCTAATGAAGCGGAAGAGATTTACAAGAGTATTTTGGCTCAGAATGCTGGTCTGCGTTATCATTATTTATATTTTTAGTTCTCTTTGTTTCTTTGGTTCTTTTGGTCTGTTCGATGAATTTTCACAAAATTGTAGCTCCATATCACTAATGCATTATTTTATTATATAGCTAATGACGATGTAATTAAAGAACAAGAGATCGCTCTTGTTAAACTCGGAGAACTCTATCGAGATCATCGGTATTTCCCGATTTATTATTATATATTGACATTTTGAGATAAATTTCTGATTTATTGTATTAATGGCATAATTATTATTTTAATCATTTTTTTTAATTATTTGATTGTTTTCTAGAAAAGCCAATGAATTATCTCTCATGATTCGTTCGTCACGTTCTTTTATGGCATCTATTGCTCGAGCTAAAACGGCCAAAATAGGTTAAAATTTTTTTTTTGATTACTATTCGAATCGGATTTTTATTCACAATAATGAAATTTTATAAACTTTATACTGAAATCAAATGAATAATTTTAGTAAAAAGATTGATTGACCTTTTTTCGGAAATTCCCGATTCATTACAACTTCAAATTGAAATTTGTCAGGAAACTATTGATTGGAGTATAAAGGAAAAACGAATCTTTTTGAAACAGTCATTGGAGACTAGATTAGTAGCTTTGTACGTATACAAAATTCTTTATTAATTGTTTGAATTACTACAATTACTCACAGTTTATATATATATATATATATATATTACTTTAGATATTTAGAGAATGAAAAATATCATGATGCATTAACTCTTATCAATTCACTTTTGAAAGAATTGAAAAGGTTAGATGATAAAATGGTATTGGTGGAAGTTCAACTCTTGGAAAGTAAAGTTTGTCATGCATTACGAAATATACCAAAAGCTAGGGTATACAAATTTAACTTTAGATGTTGCAATGTATTATGTCATAAATATAAAAATCAATAATATATATATTATTTTTTAATTAGGCAGCTTTAACTTCAGCTAGAACATCAGCCAACTCTATTTATTGTCCACCTCTTCTTCAAGCAGCACTTGATTTACAATCAGGAATTTTGCATGCAGAGGATAAAGATTATAAGACAGCGTATGAATTTATTATATTTTAATTATAATTCCAATCGAGATGAATTGTTCATATTTTTTATGTGTATATTTGACTGTTTATAGTTATTCGTATTTTTATGAAACTCTTGAAGGGTATTCGTCACAAGATGATCCTAAAGCCATTTTAGCATTAAAATATATGTTACTTTGTAAAATTATGTTAAATTTGGTAAGCGACCATTTTATTCCAATATATATATATATATATATATATTTGTGTGCAATTCATTGATATTAATTAATATTTAGAGTTAATGTTTAGTGTTAATATTAATGAATAGTCAGAAGACGTGCATGCCATTATTAATGGTAAACTTGCTTTGCGATATGCCGGACGCGAAGTTGATGCAATGAAAGCTGTAGCAACGGCTCATCAAAATCGTTCGCTTAATGAATTTGAGTATGCAGTTGCAACTTATCAAGATGGTAAGTATTTCTTTAACTAAATTGTTAATAATTAATTTGTTAATAATTAATTTGTTAGTAATTAATTTATTGATAATATTGATAATCAATTTGTTGATAATTGATTTGCTGATAATCAATTTGTTGTAATTAATTAATTAATTAATTTGTTATAATTAATTAATTATTTGTTATAATTAAATTAAAGAATTGAGAAAGGATCCCATTATCCGAACTCATCTTGATGAACTTTATGATACATTACTTGAACAGAATCTCGTACGCATAATAGAACCATTTTCGAGGGTAGAAATTTCACATGTTGCAGAAATGGTTAAATTACCCACTGTTCAAGTAGAGAAAAAATTGTCACAGATGATTTTGGACAAAGTATTTCATGGGATTTTAGATCAGGGCGCAGGATGTTTGATTGTATTTGATGAACCGCCTCAAGATGTATTTTTTTTTTCTTCTTTTTTTTCTGTTCTTTATGAGACCAAATATATTAATTATATAAAATATAAATATGATATTCATTTAAAATTTATTTAAAATTTATTTAAAATTTATTTAAAACTTATTTAAAATTTATTTAAAACTTATTTATTTGTTTAGAAAACATATGAAGGAGCCTTGGAAACACTTAAACAAATGGGAAATGTTGTGGAATCATTATATGAGAAGGTAATTTGTTGAATATTTTTTTTTTTCGATATTAAAAAAGTAAAATATATCGTCGATCACAATTAGAAATTATCAAATTTTATCTAAATGTTTTTCCATTTTTAAACTTTAGGCTGCAAAATTATCTTTTTAAATACTATATTTAACTAAAATAAAATTTTTAGTTCGTGATTTTGCTTAATGCATTGCATTTATACTTTACATTTACATTGTTATTATTTTTTTTTTTACTTTATTATTTACTTTTATATTATTTACTTTATTTATTTATTTTGATATACAACTTTTCAAAATTGATTCACATATAGTTATAAATGGCTTTCGTTGTATAATTGTCAATACAATAGATATAAATGTTTAGATGCCAAATACAAATACAGCCAATAGATTATTTTGCCCAATACATAATTATACGCAATTATATACAATTATATACAATTATATACAGGTTTAACTATCTACAGTTAGTTTGTCAATAAATAATGGATGATCGTACAACATTTGTGAAATCTAAACCGATTAGAGAAATCTACAAATTGAATAAATTGGTAATATAAATAGTGTAGTGTAGATTGTATAAAATAAAAACTGTTGTGTACAAAAAAAATTTTTTTTTTTTTTTTGTGTTAATTAGGCTTATTTTGTGTTAGTCGAAACTAAAAAATAATGATTTGCCTTTGGTAACCTTACAGACTCGCTTCTCCTCTTCACTCCTCAAAACAACAAATTTTTCTTATTAATATTTTTAGACCACTCGCAAATAGACAAAGATATTTGAAACTCGGGAAAATGTTATTTTCGTCTTAATTACATTCACAACGCATCGCACACCGTTACGTCACATAAACTTTTCAATAAAACTTTTCAGATAACAATAAAGTTAGAAAAACCCTTTTTTTACAAATATATTACATACATATATACTATTTTTGAACTATAGATAATTAATTCAGTAAGAATTTTTAATAATTAATTAAATTAATTAAAAATATATTATGTCAGAAAATTTTAACAAACTTTCTTAACAAACCACGGTTCTTTTCTTATTAAACTTTCTTTATATATGCAGTTTTTTAGATTATAAAAGTCGGGAAAATAAATTTATTGGTCAAGGAACAATTCGACAGCATTTAAAAAGTATTTTTTTTTTTATAAAAAAAGGAATTAGTTCACATGTTATTAGAATGAAGATAATATTATATTATAATTGTCTTTTGTCATTATTATTATATTTTGAGGGGATAGTTACAGTCGTTTTTGCACAAACGATACCAACCATAAATTTTGATTCAATTAATAAAATACTTTTAGGGGGACAATATAATGGAATATCAAAATATAGTTCAACGTCAAAAAACTTTGACAATGAAACGGCATCATTCTTTTCACAATTTTCTAATGGTACATTTGAATTTGAAGGGTCAACATCAAAGAATGGAACAATAAATGCTATTTGTATTATACCTCGTTCGGATAATCTTTATGTGATTGATGTATATATTGGAGGAAATTTTAGTAGCATTGGGGATAAAAAATTAAATAATATTGCAAGATACAATCCTTCAGAACGAACATTTTATCCATTAATAGAAGGATTAGATGGAACAGTTTATACATTATTTTGCGATACGGATAAATCGATAGTATATGTAGGGGGGGATTTTTTAGCTCCAGTAAATCCTGAAGCACATAATATTGACGTATTATCATTTGGAGGAAGTGTAGCTTTATGGCAAAAGGAAACGTGGAGTTCATTACCTTTTAAAGGATTCAATGGACCAGTTTATACGATAAAATATAATGAGAAAAATAATACGATATATTTTGGAGGAAAATTCGATGCTACGGGAGATGGTAACTTTGGTTCAACAAATAATACACAACCAATTAATATTAAAAATGCAACGGTAAATTTTTTTTTTTTTTATAATATTTCTAATAATATTGTTTAATAATAATTTTTTTAATAATATTTTTTAATAATATCATATATATATATATATATATAAATATATATAAATATAAATATATATAAATATAAATATTTATAAATATAAATATAAATAAATATAAATATAAATAAATATAAATATATATAAATATTTATTAATATAGATTGAAGGAGGAAATTCGGCAACAACATCAAACTTGAATGACCCTTCAGTTATAATTTGTAGTGCAGAACCGGATGGCCCGGGTAATACATGGTTATTGGGTAACAATATGCCTGGATACTGGAGAGCAACATTTGATTATGAAATTGTTCCTACAGTTATTGGAATTAAAAATACTAAATATCAAGATAGAGGGACTAAATCATTTAGGTATTTATGGAATTTATTTTTAATCAAAAACGAAATAAATAACCTTTTATAAATTAACTTTTTATATTATTAATTTATTTTTAGATTAATAGTTAATTCAAATCAAGCTGTGGCGTCATTAACATATACTGATTCTACAGATGGAACAATAAAAAATTGTTCAGATCCTTGTCCATTACAACACGACAATCAAGATTTTCAATTATTTTATTTTGTCGATCCTATAAGTATTGTCGGAATTCAAATTGAAATTTTGGAATATTATGGAAATGGAGGTGGATTACATGGTGTTCGATTATATCAAACTGGTAATATTTTTTTTTTGTTCAATTTTAATTAATTAATTGATTTGATAATTGATAATAATTAATTGATAATAAAATAATAACAATAATAATTTCCTTTTATAGATATTGTTGTTCGTGCAGTTACTGATTATGACATTCCTTGCGATAGTTCGGAATTTCATCCAACAGTAACAGCAATTGGAAATTGGTATCCACAACAACTTTCCGGCACATGGGAATATGTCTTAATTGCCAGTATTTCTACTTCTCAACTCAATAATTCCAATGAAAAATTAACTTTAACACCTTATATTCCTCAAGCTGGATATTACAATGTCACATTATCCACTCCAAGCTGTTTATCTATTGGTTGTTCTTTAACTACTTCAATTGATATTACAATCACTGTTGCACCTGGTCAAACGCAAACTGTCACCATATCAGAAAGTAATAATTATGATAAAGAAGATTTAATTTATTCCGGATTCATTTTGGCAACTTCAACTTCTTTTAAACCAATAGTTGAAATTACTGTATCCAAATCAAACATTAATACTAATAATAATAATAATAATACTTTTATATACGTGGATCATATATTTTTCACAAAGACTGATAATCTTAATTCATTAAGTAGTTTATTTCAATATATACCTTCATCTACTACAAATTCACAAGATTCTTGGTTTGGATTTAATGATTTATTGGTAAAAAATTCAATTGTTTATGATATTATAATATTATCATCATCTTCCTTAATTATTGGTGGTCAATTTAATAATTCAACTTACTCAAATATTGTAAAATATGATGGAAATTATTTCATTCCTTTAACTAATGGAGGTTTAAATGGTCGCGTAAATACAATACTTCAAATTGGTAATGATTTATACATTGGTGGATTATTCTCTACAACCGCTAATAATGATAGTTCAATTAAATTTAATAACATTGTGAATTATAATCTTGAAAAAAATTCATGGAATAAATTAAAGGAAGGTGTAAATGGTGAAGTTAAAAGATTATTTCCAGTAACCGATAATAATCCTATTAAAATTCATGTAATAGGAAAATTTGATACTTTAATTTCTTCATCAAATGATAGTAGTGGAAATATAACATTTGGTTATGCAATGTGGGATATTAATATAAAGAATTGGATTGATTCCGCATATTTAGAAGGATTAATAGGTTATATAATTCCTTATTCTACATCTGGTCAATCCATAAGTTTTTGGGGTGGAAATATATTAAGTATTTTTGATAAATTATCATTTAGTGGAAGTATACTTGATGATTCCGGAATTTCTTCTTTACCAATACATCCTCAACATTCAAATAGCAATACAACCTCTGAAATAATTATAAATTCTGTAATATCTTGGAAAAATGATACAATAATTGGTGGGAAATTTGAATTTGATAATATTAAAAATATTGGAATATTACAGAATAATATATGGGAAGAAGTTGCTCCAGGATTTTTGATGGATGAAGTTAAAATTCTTTTTGAATCTAATGATATATTATATGTGGGTGGTATATTAACTATGAAAAATGAAAGTTCTTCTGCATTTATTATTTTTGATTTGATCAATTTCAAAGTTACAACTCAATCTCAATTCTTGACTGGTAAATTTATTATTATTATTATTATTATTATTATTATTATTATTATTATATTATTCTCTAATTTCCTTGATTTTTTCTTTTTCAATAAATTCAGCAAAGGATAATATAGTCAAGGTAAACGATATAAAGGATCGAGGTGGCACTAATACTATAATAGTAGCGGGTAAATTCAACAATTCTGGATTTTTGGTTTGTGAATCAATATGTTCGTGGGATTCTAAACTGTTACAATGGACAGCCATTGATTCTAATTCTCAAATTTCTGGTGAAATTTTATCTATGGATTTCATAGGGGTAAATATTACAATATTAACATTCTATTTATAGTATATTAATCTTATTATACATATATTTTAGAATATTATATATTCATCATCATTCATTAATTTTTTATTTCTTGTAGGAAAGTACACCTCAAAACATATTAATAGTTGCAGGAATTCTAATACTTGACAATCAATTGGTGTATTTGGCACAGTACGATTTTCAAAGTCGCAAATGGCAATCAAAAGCTACACTGGGAACTGATAATACTCAATTACCTGGTCCTGCGACATTTGTATTAAATGACTTTAAAAAAGATGATCAATTTTTCGTTGCCGGTTATATATCTGATAATAATAATTCATATTTACGTAAATGGGATGGAAAAATATTTCGAGATATTGGTAAAGGACTTTTACCCAATTCAAATATTAGTTCATTAAGTCTCGTGTATACAAATATTTCTCATGAATCTTCGGATATTATTCATTCTGATTGGTTATTACTCATATCTGGTTCATTAATACTTGATACGTATGGGAATGCAAGTGCTGCATTATATAATGGTCAAAGTATATATCCATATTTAACTACTACTTTGAGTCATGGAACATCGGGAAAAATATTAAGTATATATGCACCATTTCCACATGACCTGACAAATGCACATCGTATGTATTTTTATATCTTTTTTTTTATAATATTTTTATTTAATTTAGTATATAAATTATATTCATTCATTCATTCATTCATTAAATACTTAAGTTATATATTAATAATAATAATTATTTAATTTTGTCTTTCGAATTTAAATAGGTTACTTACCTGTTTCTTTGGTCATATTGATATCTATATCATTATCATTGGCCTTGGTATTCTTAATTGTTGCGACTGGAATGATAATTTATCATTTCAAGAGACGAAAAACAGCCAAGGAAATTGTACGCAGGAATTCTACAAAAATAAGAATTCATGATAATGCCGATTTCATGGCTGCCGTAAATGCTGCAACTGATCTGGTTAGGAATATAAGAAATTCTGCTGTAACTTCGGATGTGAAATCATTGAGTAATTTATCATCAACCAGTATTGGTATAAAAACTGCTTCCCAACTTAATTTAACTCAAAATGTAATTTCTCCAACTACAACGATAAATGTTCGTGAAGGAGGAGATGAAAGAGATGAAAGGGATGGAAGAGATGATAGTGAAAGAGATGTTGGTGATCAAGGTCGTGAAAGAATAGTTGATGGTCAAGGTGATGAAAGATTATCAGGAAATAGTAATTTGGAATTTCACAGAGGATTAGCTGCTGCAATTGCGACAGAAGATGGAAATGTTCAAATTAGAGATTTACAAAATCAAGCTAAAATTGTAAGGAATACGACAAGGAATAGTGAAGGTACTACTGGTTCATATTATGCCAAATACACGTTTGATGCAAAAGAAGAAAGTGAATTACAATTTTACGCTGGTGATATTATTGACGTTATTGATGATAATGATGATGTATGGTGGAAAGGAAGAATAAATGATGGTATGAAAATTGTTATTTTTTGTTTTGTTTTGTTTTATTAGAGATCATTATAAAGTATCATTTAATAATTATTATAAAATTATATTATTTTTATAATATTCTTTAGGTAATGGTAACTTTAGAGAAGGAGTATTTCCACGTAATTATGTGGAACGAGAAGTTCCTAGATTTTGATAAATTTGAATTTTTTTTATTGTCATTAACTGTTGTAAATATTTTATGATTAAAAATTTTATATAATGATTTCTTTCTCCCCCCAATATTTCCATAAATTTACTACAATATTTCCGTCATATTTTAATCCTTTAAAAATTCCATATATTATCGTTAAATTATATTATATATCATAATTGTGTTCTGGTATTTACATTTCATAAAAAAATTAAATTAAATTGATTAAATTAATGATGATTGCAGAACAGAAAAAAAAAAATAATTTTCCCTAATCTTCTTAATTTTATTCTGTTAATATTACATTTATATACATATTATATTTATTATATTTTTATCTCTAATTATTTATTCGAAAATATTTACATAAAACAACACCAAAAAATTATAGTTCTATATATTTCTTATGGTAATAGATTTACTTTCTTACAGTAATAGAATTTGTTACAATATTTTATCTAAATTTTATATCTCTCTATTTGTATTTTATTCTGTATTTTGTAACTTTTTTTTCTTGTACTAATAGTTATCATTTTATATCAAAAATGTTTTCTTTATATTTTTAACGAATAAAATATGAAATTACAATCTATTTTTAAGCAAAAATCAACTTCTCCCTATTTGAGATCTTGTTCTCAAGTTGTTTATTAAAATACTTTTTTTTCATTTTTTTTTTTCATATAACATATTAAATAATAAATTATATGAAAAAGATAATATTCTATTCTATTTTGTAATAAATATATTTATTTATAAATTTAAAAAAATTAAAATTGGTGGCAATGTCATTAATTACACTCCAATTACCCCCAATGTAAATTAATCATTCATGAAATAAATTTCGTTCTATTTGATGTCTTTTTTTTTCGTCTTTCTTGGTGGAAATAATAAATTTCCCGCTTTAGCCACTTGACAAACTTCTTCAGATAGCTCACGTGGCAAATGTCGCTCTGCCAAAGACTCAAAAGTCACTTTATCAGTAATTAATCCCTGTCTTTTATAATAAAAGCAAATGTAATTAGTTTTTTGTCATTAATAAATATATTAAAAAAAGATTATTTGTATAATGTCTGAACCTTTTCATCAAAAGAATTACATCTTTCTCTTTAATCATTTCCCTTTTTCCATTTGTTGCATATATTGCCAAATCATCAGCAATTTGCTCGAAAAAAATTTGTGTACTAAATATATTAAAAGAAATAATTTTGTAATAAATAATCAATCATTACTGTTGGAATAATACCGATAACATCTGTTTCATATTTTTTACCCTTCAAGGACAGCTTGCATAGCTTCTGAAGTTATTTTTCTTTTCGTGAAATTTCCAAATATATTTTTGATCAAATTATCCGGGAGACGTGGTGGACCTTTTGGTAAAGATGTGCTTTAAGATGTTAATTAATTCAATAATAATAATGTAATAAATATATTATTAGTTAATTATTAATTAATTTTCTATAAAATAATTGTAATAAAACTCTCAACCTTGGTTCGGAACTTTCTGGACCTTTTTCTGGAGAATTATTAACTTTCTCTGTTTCAATATATGAATTAAACATATTTCCAAAATCATCAAAAGACCCTAATTGGTTTTCCATTTCATTAATATTTTCATTATTCGTATCAATTTCAATTTCAATATCTTGTTCATTGAAATCAAGTCCTGCATTATCTACTTTTACAGCATCTTCATTTTCATCCTCACTTTCTTCATTTTCTTCCTCAATTTCATCCTCACTTTCTTCCCTATTTTCTTCTTCATTTTCTTTCCCAATTATTTCATCCTCACTTTCTTCCCTAATTTCATCCCCACTTTCTTCCCTATTTTCTTCAATTTTTTTCCCATTTTCTTCTTCATTTTCTTTTTCACTTTCTTCCCAATTTTCTTCACTTTCTTCTTCACTTTCCTCTTCATTTTCTTCACCATATATGTTGTTGGAATTCCGTCTCATCCAAAAATCATCAATTTCTTCATCAATTTGAGGTAATGAAGAATTCTGTCCCATCCAAAAATCATCAATTTCCGCATCCATCTGAGGTAATGAAGGTTTAACAATTATCATAGGAGAACCTTGTTCATCAACAATGTTTTGATTATAATTATCTACAACGAATTCATTTATTTTGTCTCTAAATAATAATAATAATGATAATAATAAAATAAAATAATTTTAGGAATAAATAAAAAAAAATTCATTAGAGTTAGAATAACCTACTTTGAAAGTGGACTAGGAGTGGAATTATTAAATTCCTCATTGATATCTTTGATATTTTGAGGAGTTGGAATTATATACTTTGAAAATTGACTAGGAATGACATTATTAAATTCTTCATTGGTATCTTCGATATTTTGAGGAGTAATAACAATTTCTCCAGTAAATTCAATAGTTTCGTTTATTTGATCGTCAAGTACTTTTGAAAAATCATCATCATTTAAAATTAGATTGTTATGACGTTGTACTTCAGTGTCAACTTCTATTTCTTTTTCTTCATTCGTTTTCCGTTGCGATGTTTCTTTCGGTGATCGTCCTTCGGTTAATTCATTTACCGGTTGGGATTCGGGCGCGTCATTGTTCACATCTACATTCTTGGTTTGGCGTTCTTCAAAAAGTATTTGTTTCTCTTCAATTTCATGTTCTCGTACAAATCCTGGAGCTTTAGATGATTAAAAAATTTCTAAGTAATAGCACATTATTATAATATCTAACAATTATAAACAAAAATAATGAATTTACCTCGTGACAATATTCTCAATAAATTTTGAGTCTTCTTTGTATTTGATTCATTTTTATTGATTGGTTTTTTCTTTGCTGATCTTCGAGCAGAACTAGGTGTTAATCGTACAATATTGGGCGTTCTTATTTTAATTGGAGTATTATTACGACGTTTCTTGGGGGTTTGTTGACTTGATTTTTTTTTTGCCAGTACTCTGGATAGTTGTCGTAACTTTAATAAATAATATAGTCAATATTATATTAAGCGTTATAAAATATTTAAATATCGTAATGAAATTATATATAACGAAGCATAATGATCGAGCTTACCACTTGAGACGGTGTTTCTTGTGGAATTGCTTTTATATTGGTTGATGGTGGTGTTGTTTTTGATCGAGTAATGGGGCCCAAATTTCCAACAGAGATACGATTATCTGGCAATATATTAGTCTCATCTTTGAGAGCTTTTCGAATGTTTTTTGAGGTAGCTTCAATCACTCTACGTTTTTTTTCAATACTTTCTGGATTTTTTCTTGTAGATAATATTAAAGGACGTTTTATTGCCGTCCCAATTGAAGCACGAGCACGAGATTTTTTGGGAGTATTTGTGTTTAAAAGTGGTGGAATATTTTCTTCGGTCATTATTGAATTATTGAATTCAACACAACAAATGAACGAAATATATCGTCTGACGTCATATATACAGTATTTATATACGCGAAATGATCATGATCACGTGCAGGTGAAAGATAATCGAATTTTTGTTTTTCCAAAAAAAAAAAAAAAAAGGATAATAATAATAATAATAGAAAAAGAATGATACAACTTAAGAATATTAATAATAATATATTTCGACAATATTTGTTAAAATTAGGTTTAAAATTTCACTTAACAGAAAGAATTAGAAATAATCAACAGAGAATATTATCTAGTAAAAAGTGGAAAGTATTATTGAATTCCGCTTGGCCTTTTTTTAAAAAAAACAAATTTTTTACTACAAATTCTCGAAATGGGCAATTGGGAAATATTTATAAAATTATAACAACACCAAAAAAGTCAACAATTACGATGACAACACCAACAACAACACCAATAACAACAACAACTACAGCAACGAAAACAGTGACAGAAGGGAAAACATCAGCTGCGACACCAATAACTATACCCGAAGACAATTCACATAATGCTCAACATAAAATTTCTTTACCTAAAAAAACCATTGATTTACCAAGACTCTTAAAATTATATAAGGAGTTAGCAAAAGCAAAATTAGCGACCCTCGTTATATTAACAACAATGTGTGGATATGCTATGGCACCTATGTCAACAGATTTATTATGTCTTTTGGCAACTACCACGGGAACAGGATTATGTGTAGCTTCAGCGAATGCATTTAATCAATGGATAGAAATTCCATATGATGCACAAATGTCACGTACACGTAACAGAGTTCTTGTACGTAATGCTTTATCACCTTTTCATGCATTCACATTTGGTACAATAACTGGAATTGTTGGAGTAGGAATTTTATCAACAATGGTTAATCAACTTACAGCAATATTAGGAGCTTCAAACATTTTTTTATATACATGTATTTATACTCAAATGAAACGAATGACTATAGCTAATACTTGGGTTGGATCAATGGTAGGAGCCATACCACCAATTATGGGATGGGCGGCATGTACAAATAATTTGGAAATTGGATCTTTAATTTTAGGATCAATTTTATTTGCTTGGCAATTTCCTCATTTTAATGCACTTGCTTGGAATATGAGATTTGATTATGAAAAAGCAGGATATAAAATGATGGTTGTAAAAAATCCTTCATTAAATAGTAGAGTATCTTTAAGATATGCATTAGCATTATTTCCACTTAGTATTATGATTCCTTTTACTGAAATGACAACTTGGTGGTTTGCATTAGATTCAAGTTTAATTAATAGTGTCCTTTTATTAGGAGCTTATCGATTTTGGAAAGATTCAAATGATAAATCTGCAAGAGATTTATTTTTCGCTAGTTTAATACATTTACCAGTTATTATGGCATTAATGATGGCTCATAAAAAAGATTGGAGAAATGAATTGAATGAATTAAATGAAAATGACGAAGAATTAATGAAAAAAGTTTTACTGGAATTAGAAATTGAAAATTTTGTTGATAAAGAAATCGAAAAAGAATTCAACGTTTCTAACATTGAACGCAAACAACGTAATAATATAATAATGTAAATAATAATTAAAAAAAAATAAAAATAAAAATAAAAATAAAAAATCATTTTCCGTTATTTATTCATAAATCTAAAAAAATAAAAATAATAAAAAAAATAATTAATAATTAGTAAAATTTATAAAATATAAGTATCATTCAATTCACCGCCATTAAAACTAGATGAAGAGGAAATTGGATTCAATTTTTCATTTGGAGGTTGAGGAAGTTCAGTCAAATAACTTTTTTTGGAAGATAAAAAAGAATAAAATAAAGTTCAATTTTCATTACAGTTATTTAGAGAATATTGATTATATTACTCTTTTATCTCTTTCATCTCTTTTATCATAGAACTCACCGTAACATTCGTAGTTTAGTTCTAGCAGGTGACTAATAACGAATATATTGAGTTTATTTAATATATATATATATATATATATATTTAATACATTTGCTTTTTATACTGCCAATTGGAATTTATATATACCTCTGCACTGGTAATAACATGAATTGTTAACTTGGAATTTTGATGCAAGATTTCAACTGCACATTGACGTAGTTCCTCATCGTCAACATAATTTCTTAAAATACTTTCTTCTGAAGAAAGGGAACAAGTTATTAAAGAAGAACATGATGGAGAGGGAACATTTTTTTGATCAGCCATCATTCATAAAAAAAAGAATAATAGAATACAAAAATATAACTTTATAAAATAGAAAAGTTTGTTGATGATCAACAATATCCGTTGATTGGTTAAATAATAATTGCTATTGAGATTATCTTTAGATTCCAAAACCCAAGTTCAAATTGGATTGTATAATTCTGTATATATTGTATATTGTATATGTATATAATTGGTAATAAAAAATAAAAATATTGGAGTTTTCTAAATGTTATATTAAAATAAATAAAGTTAATAATTTTATTTAAAAATACATTTTATTTTTATAAAAAATACTTTCTATGTAAAACATTAGATCTTATAATAAATTTTAAATAAAATAAATAAATAATAGAAGTTACATACATACTTTACACTAATTACCGGTTTATCCAATTTATTCAATTTTTTTATTGATTAATGTGTTTTTAATATGAAAAAATACTTTCTTTAGTCATTTTTAGTGACTTGTCATAAATCGATTGTAAAATTAATATAAATAGTTGTGTAACATGGGGATCAAAATTTCACTTACTCTATCAGTACTCAAAATTAGATCGAAACAATTACATTTCTTTCTACTTACAACATTCAACATTCGCCGTCATGGCTCGTAGATACGATTCACGAACTACTATCTTCTCACCAGAAGGTAAGTTCATCTACCTTTTGTTTGAATGTTATTTGTTTGTTATTTTTGTTTTATTAATGAAATTTTCTTTTTAGGGCGGCTTTACCAAGTCGAATATGCTATGGAAGCAATATCTCACGCTGGTACTGCTTTGGGTATCCTCGCGACTGATGGAATTGTGATAGCTGCAGAAAAAAAAGTAACATCTAAATTACTCGAGCAGTCTACTACAAGCGAAAAAATATATTTATTGAACGAGTACGCATTTTTCTTTCTTTTTTTTTTTTTTACGTAATTCAATTAAGGTAATGAATGTAATTACTAACTTATAAATTATATATTTTTCAATAAATATTTTTTTATAGTAATATCATTTGTGGTGTAGCAGGAATTACTGCAGATGCTAACATTCTCATAAATTATTCGCGGCAAGCTGCTCAGCAATATCTAATCGGTTATAACGAAGACATTCCTGTTGAACAATTAGTACAAAGATTAAGTAATTTGAAACAAGGATATACACAATATGGAGGTAAATGATTTTTTTTTTTTAAAAAAAAAAATAAGATTTTGAAGATATCTTTAAAAAAATTTTATAACATTTTTTCATTTTAAAAAAATAAAGGTCTTCGTCCATTTGGAGTCTCATTCATTTATGCTGGATACGACAGTCACTTTGGTTTTCAACTTTATCATTCTGATCCCTCTGGTAATTATGGTGGATGGAAGGCTACGTGTATTGGAGCCAATAACGCGTCAGCTCAATCACTACTAAAACAGGATTATAAAGATGATATTTCCCTCAAGGAAGCAAAGGAATTGGCGGCAAAGGTGTTGAGTAAAACGATGGATTCTACTACGTTAAGCAGCGAAAAGCGTAAATACCCTTTTTTTTATATTTTCTTATATTTTTATTTCTTTCAAGTAAAGACTAATTCACATTTGGTCTTTTTTTAGTGGAATTTGCAACGATCTGTCTTAATGAAGAAGGGAAAGTAGTATATCATCTTTATAAACCATATGAAATTGATGCTTTATTGAAAGAACTTAATTTAGGTGGTCAAGAAACTGAATAGTAAATATTCTATTTTGATCTGTAACAATAATAATAATGATAAATTGGATAACAAATCAAAGTTCCAATTATTTATTTCAGATTCCAAATGTGGTTATTTACAAATGTTGAATAATTTTCTTAATGTATTAGTTATTTAATTTATTCCCAATACCATAAGAGAATAAAAGATTTAATTGAAATTTTTATCATGTGATTCCAATAAAAATGCAATCATCACGTGTTATAATCTTATAATAAGATTTTGCCGCTCCTTCAACTGCTAATGTCAAAAAAAAAAGGAGTTTATGAGCAAGAAACGGTAAGTAGTAAAATTTTGAACTTTAAATTGTAACTATACAATATTAATTTTTTATTTTTAAAGCATGACACGAGTTTTCGTCGTACATGGGATAAAGAAGAGTACGAACGACGGGCACGAGAACGAGCGCGACTAGAGCGTGAACAAGAGGATGATGGAGATCGCAAACAGAAGGGCGTAAGGGCAAAGTTCTTAAAAGATGCGGAACCCGAACAACCACGAGACTTATTGAAAGCTCGTACAGAAAAAGTTGTATTAGACGCAAATTTAAACAAAACTCAAGTTGTAGTATCAACCAGTGTTGCATCCAAACAACCCGGTTTCTATTGTAAAGAATGCGATTGTGTTGTCAAAGACAGTGTAAATTATTTAGATCATATTAATGGAAAAAAACGTAAGTTATTTCATATTAGTCGCTAAAGTAAAACACAAAATATAGAGAACATAGACTAATACGTTAATTTGGATATTAAAGATCAACGTAATTTGGGAATGTCAATGAAAGTTGAACGCAGTTCTTTAGACCAAATTAAGACAAAACTTGCTAATATGAAAAAGAAAAAGGATGAGGGACCTCAAGTTTACGGTAGATAAAATTTGGATTTTTTTTATTCTTTTCAAATTAACAAAATATATATATATTTTTTTTATCTAATCTTGAATAATTTTGATCAGATTTCGATGCACAAATAGAAAAGTATCAAAAGAAAGAAGAGGAAGATAAAAAGCGTAGAAAGGAACGTAAAAAAGCCAAAAAGAAAGGAGAAATAGGAAAAAATGAAATTAATGAAGAAGAAGAAATAGATGATGGAGTTGATCTTGAAATGGCAAAATTAATGGGGTATGAAAATTTAAAGAAAATTTATATGAATGAATGAATTAAATATGAATTAAATCTAAATTTCTTTTATATTAATAGTTTCAATGGCTTTGGTTCAACTAAATCATGAATATAACTTATAAATATAACTTATTTTAATTCGTAAAAATTTTATTTACATTTTATTACATTTTTTTTATTTCGATTTTTTATTTGATTCCTAATATAGTTATAGATGATAAATTTAAATAAACTTTTTTTTTTTTAATTCATCTTCGCATCAATTTTTAAAATAATAAGAATGAAAAATTAATTTTGTATAGTGGACAAATAAATCAGTTTATGTATAAATTATATCTTTTTTATAATAAATAGAGTTACAAAAATTTGTTTCACGTTTAAGCGAAAAAATACAATCAAAAAATTAATTGGTTTTGATTTTATTATATTCTTTTACAACGAATTTATGATAAACAACTTTTCAAAATAAAAAGCAATTTTATAATAATTTATAATAATTTATAATAATTTTACAAGCGATTAACATTTCCCAAATCACGACAAGCTTCTTGGACACGCTTAGCCATGCTTTTCTCGGCTTCACGAATAAAAACGCGAGGGTCATAATACTTCTTATTAGGCTTATCTTCATCTTCAGGATTTCCAACCTGTGATTGAAGAAATAACTTTTTGCCTTCATAATAATTCTTGATTCCTTCCCAATAAGCCCATTGAGTATCTGTGTCAACATTCATTTTGATTACACCATAACCAACAGCTTCGTGGATCTCCTCTTTAACAGAACCACTGCCACCATGGAACACGAACCATACTGGCTTGTCAGTTTTGCAGTTTAATTGTTTTTTAACATAATCTTGGTGTTTTTTAAGTAAGATTGGTGACAATTTTACATTTCCTGGTTTGTAGACACCATGGACGTTACCAAAAGCGGCGGCGATAGTAAACATGTCACTAACTTTACTCAATTCACGAACTATATCCCAAACATCTTCGGGTTGCGTATATAAAGCACTGTTATCAACACCAGTGTTGTCTACGCCATCCTCTTCTCCACCGGTGATACCAATTTCCATCTCAAGCAATAAATTGATCTTTGACATTCGTTCAAGATATTTCTTGCAAATTGCAATATTTTCATCCTTAGGTTCTTCAGAAAGATCAAGCATATGAGAACTAAAGAGAGGTTCACCATGTTTTGCAAAGTACTCTTCGTCTGCTTCTAACATTCCATCAAACCATGGCAAAAGTTTTTTGGCACAATGATCAGAGTGCAATACAACAGGACTAAATAATTGCAAATATTAACTGGATTAGCACATGACCTCAAATAATATAATTAAAAAGTTTTAATTCGCGATTCGCGTGAGAACCGGACATAATATAAAATTTATTAGTAAGACGAAATCAAAACCATAGTAAATTTAATAAATAAAAATTTTAGAAAACTATTTCTAAATTAAAAATCATCTTAATTCTAAAAGTGGGCAAATATATTAAAAAAAAAAAAAATTATTCATTGTTTCGAAGGAAGTTGGATTCCAAAATTTTAAAAGAACATTATTGTCCGGTTCTTGCATGAAGCACGAATTAATTATTTTGTTTCTTTGACATAGAAATTCGTTTTTGAAATAAAAAAAATAAAATGGGCATTAAATTATTTAATGAAACTTACATTCCATAATCCTTTGCAACCAATCTTACGTAGTGTGCAGCTGCGACAGCACCTTTAATACTGGCTTTTTGACCATCATTACTTAAGCCTTTTCCCGCATAAAAAGCGGAACCACCTTGAGATAATTGAAGAATAAGTGGAGCTTTTATGTCACGGGCAGCTTCCAAAGCAGCGTTAACAGTTGACGAGGAAGTACAGTTGACTGCTGGAATAGCGAATTCTTGTTCTAAGGCATAATTAAGCAGTTTACGAACATTATCGCCAGTGATAACTCCAGTAGGAATTCCAAGGTCAAACACGCCCATGATTTTGAGAATGGGAAAGAAATAAAAAAAAATCACACGTTTCCCAATTGCCATATATATATAATCAAATTTATGCAATGGGGATCTTAACCTGTTCCAGGTTCCGATATGTAATTACTGCATCATTATTCATGAAGTCCAATAAAGTTCATTTTTTGATGATTATGTTACACAACTTTTTATAGTTACTATATAGGTGTCAAATGATACTTCGCTAGACCGTTCTTCTAATGCTTTTCTACATTGGCATCATCTTTGTACACGAGATATGTTAGAGACAAGTTTTAAAGATAATTAGACATTATAAAGATAAAATTTTTTTGTTTATTACAATAATTGAAAGTCAACCTTTTCTAAATACATATATATTATTTTAATAAATTTTTGTATTTATTACAATTATTGTAAAGCTAACCTATATTATTTTAATATTCCCTAAATAAAGCTACAATACACACACAATGAATTTATAAAACTTGTGAATATATAAAAAAAATTTTTCTAAAATTTAATTTTTTTTTTTCAGAAAGTACCATTGCATTTCTTATTTTCTTTTTTAACACAATTTACTTAACTCGGTAAATCAAATTAATATATATTGTTTTTTTTGTTTATACTAGATTGAATATAAAACACACTACCATCTTGTATATCCTCCTAAGCCTTAATAACATCATGAATTCTTTCTGACATAGAGTGAATCAAATTGGTACAAGTATCAATGTCAATCTCTTATTAAACCTGTTGAATTTTGATTCACAAGTTCTCCTTATCTGAAATTTGTTCAGGAAGATGATAAAGATTATGATCTATTTCATTCCATAAATGTTCTATGGGATTAAGATCTGGAGATTGGGTGGACCAATTCAAACCTTTATTTTGTTACTTTGAAATCATCATTTTGTTGAATTTACTATATGTTTAGGATTTCCATCCTGTTGAAAAATTATATCTTTAATAGTAAATCCTTAAACTTTAATAACTTTAATAGTATTTAAAAGATCTATCAGAAATAATATAATTATATTATTTTCAGTTAGTCTAAGTTATTCCTGATTAGGTATGTATCATGATTCATTTTTTAAGACACACTTAAAAGTGTTATGATTTATTTTTTACAATATACTCGAACTGTTATATATCAGGTTAATGTCTAGTTGATTTCTATTGTCAGATCATATATGATATATTGTATATTAATTTGGTGATTACAGTTAGTTTTAAAACTAAGAAGAGTGGTGTATTAGATTATGATGACCTCTTGTAATTTTAAATTATTTATGATCAATTGGCTATATACTATGATGTGTTAATCACAAAACTCAAGTCATTAATTTATTACTTATATAAATTTTGTATATTGGATTATTGTTTTTAATTGATTTCCTTTAGATGGAAATAGTGAGTTAGATTATGACACCTTGAATTTGTAACCTTCTATATTAAGTTCTAATTCTTTTAGAAACTTAAATTTGATAATAATATTATATATAAAGTTTTCCATAGACCAAGTCCAGTCAAGCCCTATAAGGCTTGAACCCAGTTAAGCTCAAAAAACTTAGGCTTAGGTCAAGCCTAAATTTAAAAATTGAGCTCAGGTCAAGCCAAGCCTATATAATTTGAGCTTGGCTTAACTCTCGAGCTTTTAAGCCTTAATATGAATTCTCAAGCCTTAACATGGGCTCTCGAGCTTTAACATGAGCTCTTGAGCCTTAATATGAGCTCTCGAGCTTTAATATAAATTCTCAAGTCTTAATATAGGCTCTCGAGCTTTAATATGAACTTTCAAGCCTTAATATGAATTCTCAAACCTTAATATGAGATCTCAAATCTTAATATAAGTTTTCAAGTCTTAATATAAACTTACCTTAATATAGTTTGTCTAATACAAATATGAACTCATAAACCTTAATAAAAACTCTTAAATTTTAATAAAACTTTATAAGTTTTAATGTGAATTTACAAATTTTAATATATTTAATTAAATAAAGAACTAAACAAAAATTAAAAA